CCTCCTCCATTCCCCCCTTCCTAAGTCTTTCCATCCTTCCCCAATCTCCCTCCCTTCCTAAACTCTTTCCCTCCCTCTCTTCCATTTCCCTCCCTTCCTTCCTAACTCCTTCCCTCCCTTCCTAAGTCCTTCCATCCTTCTCCCATCTCTCTTCCTTCCTAACTCCTTCCCTCCCTTCCATATCCTTCCCTTCCTTCCTAACGCCTTCTCTCCCTCCCTCCCTCCTTCTCTCTCCCTCCCTCCCTTCTTTCTTTCCCCATCTCCCTTCCTCTTTCCTCCCTCCCTCCCTTCTTCCTTTCTCCCACCTCCCTCCCTCTCTTCCATCTCCCTCCCTTCCTAACTCCTTCCTTCTTTCCCCCATCTCCCTCCCTCCCTTCCTTCTCCATCCCCCACTTCCTAAGTCCTTCCATCCTTCTCCCAGCTCCCTTCCTTCCTAACGCCTTCCCTTCCTCTTTCCTTCCTTCCTTCTTTCCCCCTTTCTCCCTCCCTCCTTTCTTTCCCCCATCTCCCTTCCTCTTTCCTTCCTTCCTTCCTTCCTTCCTTCCTTCCTTCCTTCCTTCCTCCCTCGCAATAACTCACCAGCAGAGATTAGGCACCGGTGAGGTGGAGGAAGGGGTCGGTCCCTCTCGGTTCTCTCTATCCGCTCCACTAGAGATGGTGTTTAAGCCAGCTAATGATGATGACCCCCCCCCTGGAGGTCGCTTAGAGCAGTTGCAGTGGGGTGTTTCCCCCCCCCCCCACAGACTGAGGAAGCTTGTGCAGACAAAGCAGGAATCCCGTCAACATTTGGGGTTTTATGGTTTTATACTTTTTATGATTCTCTCTGCTGCAATCCAGCATCCAGTCCCAAATTTTGCAGCCTAGTTTATTCACAGAGAGGGGCATAAGTGTTGCACAAAGGTATTTATTATTTTAGAGGGGGACGTGGTATTACAAACTTGGGGTGACCAGCCAAAGGGAGACCGTTGGAAGGGAAGTTTCCTTTGTTTCTTCCCTTCCCTGGGCTTTTTTAGATCAGTGATGAAATGCACACGCGCGCACACACACACACACAATATTTCCCGCTTTCAATGCAGCCGCAGGCTCTTTGCAGCCTCCCCTTGCGCCAGGAAAACAGATTGAGAATGGAGCAAATCTTCCCCTCCCCATAATACTTCATAAATAACCTAGGCTTAGCTGCAGGCTTCTGGTTGTCTGAAGGGAGATTTGAGAGGGAGGCTCAAGAAACAGGGGAACTGCCTACTTAACCAGAAAGGAGATTGACGAACGGATCTGCCAGCTCAGTTACTGGCAGCTCAGAACATTTGGGGGCTCGGGCACCCACTCCGCTGGCACTCACACTGTTCAGGCCTTCCCCAGCCGCGCGCGGTCCTTGAACGCCTGCCGGTGGCTGAAGCCATCCTGCCTGCATGGGCTGCGCATCGCTTTCTAGCACACCCCAGCCGACACGTGTTCCGAAGGCCATCAAGTAAATAACTGGCGAGGACACTGGAGAGGCTCACCGCTTGGAAAGCGAATTTGGCGGTGCAACTGGCTGTGCCCGAGATATTCCCNACCCAGCTAGGGGACATCATCAATGTTAGAAGGGAGGAAGGAGGAGGAGGAGGAGGAGGAGGAGGAGGAGGAGAACCGTGGGGTCCTTGGTGCTCGATGAACTTGGTTGTTTTCTTGCAGACATTTCATGATCCATCTAGGTAACATCATCAATGATAGAAGGGAGGAGGAGGAGGTGGGAGACCTATGGGGTCTTTGGTGCTCTCTGAGTTTGGTGGGTTTCTTGCAGACATTTCATGACCTAAATAGGTAACATCATCAATGCTAGAAGGGAGGAGTGAGGAGGAGGAGGAGTGGGGGGAGTGAGAAGGACAGTGGAGTCTTTGGTGCTCTCTGAACTTGGTATTTTCTTGTGGACATTTCATGACCCATCTAGGTAACATCATCAGTGCAGGGAAGTGTGGGTTCCCTCCCCCCCCCTCTTTATATACAATAATGTTTGCACTGGCAGTATTAGGAATGATGTGTGTCTTCTGCTTGGCAGTTTCTTGATAAGACTCTTGTTTTCTGCTTGGTTGTTCGTCTGGTGTCAATCCCTGCTTATCTGGGCCTTGATATGTGTGTTGTGGTCTTTTTGTTTCCTTCTTAGCTTGTTTACTGGGGGGTCTAACTGTGTAAATCTCCCATGTGCCTTATGAACTTCCATTTACGAAACAAAACTTCTGGGGTTTTTTTTTCTCAGTTCCGTAATCTGGGTGTGGTTTTCTTCCGTTGTCCCGTTTCCTGGTACAACTGTTGATTCTTTACTAAGTATTTGCAAACAGTGCAAGAAAAGTTGCTGGCTGGCCATAAACTCAAAGGGTGTATTTTTTTTTTTTTTAAAGTTGGATCCTGAAAAATGAACCTGGTGGGAAAAAGGAAATTTTGCCTCCATATTTTATTTTGCACAAGGAGAAGTCACACAAACTCGTACTGAATGTAACTGTGCGCAAAACTATACAGAGTTTTGTGTTTTTCAGTTTTAGCTGGAAATTGGGTTCCACCACAAAACCGCGTTCGACTAAAGCGCGCTCGACGAAACCGCGTAGCTGACGTCATCACAGGGCGACAACAGCGCGNGCTATCCAACATCTTAAAGACTTCCAGTGTTGGGGCATTCAAACTTCTGGAGGCAATTTCTGTTCCACTGATTCATTGTTCTCACTGTCAGGAAATTTCTCCTTCGTTGCTTTTAAGTTGCTTCTCTCCTTGATTAGTTTCCACCTGTTGCGTCTTGTTCTGCCCTCAGGTGCCTTGGAGAATAGTTTGACTCCCTCTTCTTTGTGGCAACCCCTGAGATATTGGAAGGCTGCTATCATGTCTCCCCTGGTCCTTCTTTCTGTTAAACTAGACATACCCAGTTCCTGCAACTGTTCTTCATATGTTTTAGCCTCCAGTCCCCTAATTCTCTTTGTGGCTCTTCTTTGCATATGTGCATCTGGAACAGGCCCCAGCTGTTCTTCCTCCTCACTCATAGCTCCAAAGGCAGCTGCCTCTCTGCTGGGAAATGTTGAACGGCCCTGGCTCTCTTTCTCTCTCTGTGTCCGATGCTGAGCATCCATCAGAACCTTCCCCAGGCCCCAGAAGTCCAGTTCCAGAGGGCAGATCCAGGAAGGTTGTGTAGATACTTACAGAACCAAAATCTTGTGGCCCTAAACTGTTCAGTCACTTGCTCCTACCCAGCCACATTGTGATTTTTATGGAGATTCTAATCATAGATTGATGGTGATGCTTACAAAACCAGATGAATTCTGCATCTGTTACCTTTTTGCCTGACTGGGATAACAGAATGGTTGTTTAATGCAGCCAGATTTTCAGTGATAGTTTGTCGAATGGGACTGCAATTAACAGCTGATTAATTTCCAGTGTTTTATGTGGGTTGTATAATAATAATAATGTTGATTTGTTCCCTTTTTCTTGGGCTGTTTTTAGTCCAAATTATGGAGGAGATTGTACTGTTCCTTGGTGCTTGGTGTAATCTTTAAACTCAGTAAAATAAAATAAAAGATAAAGATAAACTAAGATAAAATCTATCTACATATTAATGGCTCTGTGTGTGTATATATATATATGTTCCAGCATAACTCTGGAACGCTTCGAGCAATTTCAACCAAACTTGGTACACAGATGACTTACTCTCTGGAAAAAAATACTGAGGGGGTAAGACACCTCTAACACCCATCAGTGTGTGTCTTCTGTTAAGATACAGCCTGTTGTGCCTTAAAATGGCTTCTACGTTACTGCCTTAAAATGGTTTCTACTGTGCAGCTCAGTGGAGTTGCCATGGTAACGGCTCCACAAGGGGGCTCCCTCTGGTAAGTGGGAAAATCCAACATTAGAAATTACGTTTGGTCGGGACATTTCCCCCCTATAAATAAATACCTGGATAATCAACACCTAGTAAGATAATAAAATAAAATATAAAATAAAATAAATAATAATAAACATTTCCTCTTTGATTATCTTAAGTCAGTAACTTATGGTCATGATATGAGTTGTGCATATTGGCTTTTTTAAGTTTCTCTGACCATGGAAACTGATTAGATTTATTTGTTTGAAATTGTTGCTGATGACAAAAGTGAAGACAAATAAATAAGAGCATCATTTGCCCCTACAGTGAACCCAATCCAGGTAGTCCTCAACTTACGACCCACAAATGAACCCCAAATTTCTGTTGCTAAGTGAGACCTTTGTTAAGTGAGCCTTTCCCCAATGTACAACCTTTCTAGCCGCCATTGTTAAGTGAATCATTGCCGTTGCTAAGTTAGTAACACAGTTGTTAAGTGAACCTGGCTCTCCCCATTGACTTTGATTCTCAGGAGGTCGCAAAAGGGGATCACGGGACCCCAGGACACTGCGACAGTCAGAAATATGAGTCAGTTGCCAAGCGTCTGAATTTGGATCCCATAACCTTAGGATGCTTCAGTGGTCGTAAGTGTGAAAAATGGTCACACGTCGCCATTTTTCAGCGCCGTTGTACCTTGGAATGGTCGCTAAACAAAATGTTGTAAGTCAAGAACTACCTGCATTAACTTACCAGCTGCAGCGATTCGCGTAACAACTGTGGCAAGAAAGGTCGTAAAATGGGGCTAAAACCCACTCAACCGGTGTCTCGCTTAGCATTAGAAATCTTGGGCTCAATTGTGGTCGTATGTCGAGGACTTCTTGTATCTATTGCAAGTCCATGTGTATACTATCAACATCTTTTAACAATCCCATAATCCCTTGCGGGGTGGAATCTGAGCAACAGAATGGAGCTGGCAGAGTATTTCCTGGCCAGATGCCTTCCTGTCGCCAATGTGGAGTTTTGTTCAGCAGATAGATTCTCATTGTGCCCAGAGAGAGAAATAGCTGCCCCTACCTAGGAAGAAACTCACAGCCTCCTGATTTTGAGGCTAGAGCTCCACCTATAGGCCGCTGCACCACTCCGCCATATATATGCTATGCCGTACGCTAAATAAACATAAATGAATGTCTTTCAGGTGGAACAGTTCTGGCGGTTTTACAGCCACATGGTCCGTCCTGGGGACCTGACAGGCCACAGCGACTTCCATCTTTTCAAAGAAGGAATTAAGCCGATGTGGGAGGTAAGCCTGAGGTTTCAAGATTGGCTTAAGTAAGGCCGTCCTGGGACTGACATCTCTACTGGGTTTAAACCCAGCTTTAACATTCTGTAGTCTGTGGGGATGCTCTCCCTGTCCCCGTTGTTCATCCTTTTTTCACCCATTTCTTTGGTGGGAAGGGGGAGCCTTTGGCCTATAAATTGTTTATTTGTTAGATTTTTCATCTACCTTTATTACTTCATCAGGAACTCAAGATGGCGGACATACCTAATACTCTTTTCTCCTCCTGTTTTCCCCACACCAACAACCCCGTAAGGTGGGTCGAGCTGAGAGAGAAAGATTGGCCCAAAGTCACCCAGCCAGCTTTCATATATCCAAGACAGGACTAGAATTCACCACCTCCTAGTGATTGGCCCAAAGTCACTCAGCCGGTTTTCGTTCTTAAGGCGGGACTAGAATTCACCACCTCCTGATGATTGGGCCATAGTCACCCTGGCAGTTTTCGTACTAAAGGCGGGACTAGAATTCACCACCTCCTAGTGATTGGCCCAAAGTCACCCAGCTGGCTTTCATTCTGAAGGCGGGACTAGAATTCACCACCTCCTAGTGATTGGCCCAAAGTCACTCAGCCGGTTTTCGTGCTTAAGGCGGGACTAGAATTCACCACCTCCTGATGATTGGGCCATAGTCACCCTGGCAGTTTTCGTACTAAAGT